CTCCCAGCCCTGCTATGGCTGCCCTGCCTGCCCCAGCTCCCGGCCCTTTAAAAAAAAAAAAAAAAGCCCCATACTCACCAGCTCCTGCCCAGCTGGGGGTCGATCCCTGCCGCCCTGCGCTGCATGGGGGGGATTTTCCATGAGCCCCCAGAAGCCCCAAGGCTGCTGCAGCAGCTAGTAAGTCCAGAGTTTTGGGGGTTTTTTAAAGGGCCGGGAGCTGGGGTGGACCAAGGGGTGGGGGGGGAGCTTGTGGCAGAGCTCCCCCATGCAGCATGGGGCAGTGGGGGGCAGTGGGGATCACCCCCTGCCTGGCAGCACCCGCTGAGTCAGGGCTTTTTTTTTAACAAGAGCCGGGAGCTGGGGTGGGTGAAGCAGCCATTGCTGGACTGGGAGAGGGGGGGGGGATGGGCCTGGGCAGGGCAGCCACTGGGGGGGCTGGGAGAGCGGGTGGGGGTTGGGGGGCGCTCTGAGGGACTGGGAAGCAGTCAGGGAATGTGGCCTGGCACGGGTCCCCCCATGGTCCCCTCCCCCTCCTCCAGCCTTCCCTCCCTCGCCGCCTACTTGTCAGCATGGAGTCAGGGTCCAGCTCCCTGCTGCAGCCAGCCGGGACTGCCCAAATCACCAAAGCTCTCCGAATCTTTTCTGAATCAATTCAGAGAGCTTCAAATCGATTTGGACCTTTTAATTGGTCCCGATTCGATTTGGATTCAGAGATTCAGCCACCGAATCGGACCAAATCTCCTCTGAGCCGAATCAGCACCCAAAGCTTTGCACAGCCCTAATGGGCAGCCCAGCTCCATCTGCCCCATGCTGCATGGGGTCGGGGGGCAACCTGGCCCTGATCCAGCCACGTGGGGGAGAGGGATAGAACAACCAGCCAGGGCCCAATCTAACTGTGGAGTGCAAGGCCAGCCTGGGCCCCATCCAGCCACATGGCAAGAGCCTGAGCCAGGCCTGATTGACTGCGTGGGGCTCAGTATTTTGGCAGTACGGGTGCAGTGGCAGTATTAATTGACACTGCTCCCTGCAACTAAATTTTCTGACCTGTGGGGAGCCATAGCTCCGAGAGGTAGATTTGGCTTACAGGCCAGGGGTTGAGGACCCCTGATCTATACAGTTATACTGTCTGTGACTAGTATGTAACAGACACACCCAGCCCATGAATACATTCCAAGTTCAATTCCCTCCCTTCTCGATTCCCCTAGTACCAACATAATCTTCTCCCCTTTCCTTCCTCCCCCTGCCAGTTACTTCATTAATTCTGTCATTTCTGATATATAAGGCAAACCTTACAGACATTTTAAAGCATGCACATCTCTTCAGTTAACAAGTTCACATTGACAGAATACTGTGGGATAATCACCAGACAAAGATGCTTTACTCCGGCAAAGTTTAGAAAGCCGGCTTTTCCTGCTCTTGTTGGTCCAAGGATAGGATTTGCTCAGCTCATCAGAGTCATTTAGTCCTCGGAGGGATAACCCCGGTGAAGAACATGCTAGCCCCTGTTCACCACAGCTGTGTTCCATGACTGCCATATTCAAACTGTCACGTCACCCTAGGGATCCACCATCTCTGAAGAAAATACAGAAGAGTTCAGTCAGATTTACAAGTTGTAATCCAAAGCATAAGGGCACCTTTTCAGTGTGCCTCAGATCTAGCCACAATGAGGAGTGACACAAGGCCTTGGGTAACGTTTTCTGAAGCTTTTTATCATTTATGTCCAGTTTTCAAAAGGCCCCGGGGTGTCTAAATGACCTCACTTATTTTACCCACAAACACCACGAGGCAAATAAAACACCACCACCACCAGGGCACCCCTTAGGAAGACTAGGACCAACAGTCACAAACTCTTGGAAGACCATTTTAGGCTGGGCATAAGGAAAAACTTCTTTACTGTCTGAGTCCCCAGGGCCTGGAATAGACTCCCCAGAGGGGGCAGGCACCTACTCTGGATTCCTTTAAGAAACACTTGGATGCCTATCCTGCTGGGATCACTTGACCCCAGCTGACTGCCTGCTCGCCCTTTGGGCAGGGGGCTGGATCCGATGATCTTGTGAAGTCCCTTCCAGCCCTGATGTCTATGAATCTATGAAGGCCAAGTTTTTCCATGGCTGTATGAGCCTTTGATCTCTGTTCTTAACGCCCACCTGGCTTTTCCAAGTTACTTCTGAAGAAGGAATGTGCCCTCAGCCAGCCCTGCTTCTCATTGCTAGGGTCATTTTCAAACACAGAAAAAGGCTGTACTAGTGACAGGCTCTTCCTTAAGCCTAACCTTCACTACATGTTTCTGATGAGCTACATAGGAATTCCCAGGGAGGCAAAGTAAAAGTGTCCTACAACAGAGGGGGACACAAGGTAGCCCCACACCCTAGGTGCCACTCCACCCCCTTCCCCTGCCTCGTGGGCTGCTCTTCTTGCCTTGCGCTCCCTGCCTGCGCAGCTGCCCCCAGCGGGATGGGCAGCTCTGCCCTGCCCTCGTCTCCCTGCCTGTTATCAGGGCGGCGCTGCCTTCTGCTCCCTGACCCATCCGCCGCTCTGCCGTCCGCTCCCTGCCCTGTCCGCCCCCTCGCAGGGACCCGCGAGCCGTCTTGCGCCAGTTACGGCCTCACCAACCCGGCGCCGCCGCTCCCCCGACCCCACAAGCCGCAAGAGGCCGGGAGCAACTCCGTGCCCCGCAGCCCGGAGACACGGGGCTGAACAAGGCGTCTCAGTGGCACGAACCAGCAGCGGCGCCGCCGACTCCCTCAGTCCGGGCAGCAACGCTTGCCGCGCCGGGAAAGGGGCGGGCCGCGCTCATCGCTCCGTCCAATCCGGAGGGCGGAACCCGAGGGGACGGTTGGGATTGACAGCCATAGCAGCCAATCGGCCTCCGGGGCGCGCGGCCCAAACGGCTTCTCCATGGGCCAAATCCCCGCGCGCGGGGTTGCTAGGGACGCGGTCGCCTCTGCCTAGGGGGCGCGGGAGGGGGCAAAATGGCTCCAGCGGGGTTTAGTAGCGCTCTTCCTGCGTGCGACGCTCAGTGTATGGTGCTATGCGTGTGACTGGGTTGTGTTAGGGGCAGTCAGAACAGAGCCTGCTGCGGAGTCTTACCCCATTCCCTTGGACTCGCTAGGCGGAGCCCTTGCTGAGTCCCTCAGCGGGGTAGCTGCTTTGTTTCCCTCCTGCCCCTTCATTTTTTTCGACCACTGCTTTCTAGTTGAAAACTCCACGTCCTGCATGCCCTTCATAGCACCGGAGGAAGTCAGCCCCTGCTTGGGGAAGCTCATGCGAGGGGCAAGGACGTGTTAAGGTGGTATCTTGTACTGAGGCAACTCTGGAGCCAGGATCAAGTCAGAGCTTTGGCACGGTGGCAGGAAGGCGGGCACGGAGCGAGCACAGCGCAGGGGAGGGGCTGACACAATTAGGGAA